TTTGTTTATAACCCATTGTTTGTAATAATTTTATCTTCCAAATTTCAGATCTATGTGTTAAAAAGGTGTCGAATGAAAAACTTGGTTTTAGTTATTCTGTTTTTGGTTTGCGTTGTCAAGTGCAATCGCAACTAACTAATTTCCCTCTATATAGCAGAAAAACTTGTTATCGCGTTAAACAGTCGTAAAAGTGATATGAACTAACCATTTGAAACATATTTTTACATATGTAAAATATATCTATAAATAATTGGAAATCAATAATACAGTGACTCGCACGATATGATGGTGTATGTCGAGATATGTTAGCCCCAAGTATTTAAAAAAAGCGGTAAGCTGGAATAACACCTTAAGTAATTATCGAAAATGCGTTATCTAATTGAAGACACTGATTTTCAATTAATTTTAAACTGACGTCACAAAAGCCGACTATTTTTCAAATGTTTAAACTTGAGCGGAAATAGATTGCGAAACAATGAAACCGATGATCCATCCGTGCTGGCAAAGAAAAGAGAAAGTTAAAGTTTCGTTTCAGTAAATATTTTGAAATTGTAGGATTCTCAAATAATCATCATAAAGCTCGGTGAATTACTCTACCTCTGTCAAATGTTGCTTCCCGAGGACTTAAAAGTTTAAAAGGAGCTTGACGACCGGCACAAAAAATAATGAGAGATTCAATCCAAGTGTAGAAAATGTGTTTTTAATACTGGTATAAAATATGTAGTTTACAGTTGTGAATGCAACTTTATATAGTTTATGGCTGTTACAAACAGTATGCAATACCAACTAAGGTATGAAAATATAACCATAATTACTTAGTATAAACAATACAATATCAGAGATTTGTAATATTATTTTTTTTTAGACATTGTACGGTATTTCAAAGTTAAGAGTAAATATTTAATTTAAAGCACAACATAGTGCGAAACTTGTGCCAAAGCAGGCAGATGTTCTTGAACTATGAATTATTGAACTATTTTTATTACAAATAAATTTCTCAAAGAATTTCAGCATCGTAATTTTGACAAGATCTTCCGATCGTTATTATTTCCACAAGTAAACCATCGCATTTAATTAAAAAGATAGTGTTGTATAATTCGATAAATATAACAAACTAGTTTCGCAACTCTCAGCCGTAGTTGTTATCGAGACAATAAATGGAAGTAGTTTTTTTTGTGCCTTTTTCTAGAGCCTACAATTTGCATACATAGTCGTTTGCATAACAGGAAAACTTCGGATCAATTATTATCAAAACTACGTGGCATTAAATTTTTTATTTGTTTCTTTTTTTATACGCCTATATCCTGGTGTATGGTAGGTGAATTAAATATTTACTTGGAATTAAAATTTAATAGGCGATTAACCTGTATCTAAAAATGCGATTGGTTGAATTTGAACACGTGACTGATTAACTATCTGCATGAATAAGTATGTAAACCGGGTCTAAATACAATGTAAAAATACTAAATTGAATAAATTGCCTCCCGCAGTTGGCGTTGCCACCATGTGTTAGGTCTCATACTAATAAGCAGTGGCGTTCTTGTGGCCAAAATTCATGTTTTAACTTTGCTACGCATAATAAAAGTGTGCCATCTTACTCATTTAACTCCTAAATAAATGACAATTTTCATTGACGATTTTTTAAGGGCAAACTGCCAAGGATGTGGGATTGATTGGACAAAAATTGCTGGTTTAACCGTTTCTATGAAAGTAACATTAGTCCCAGCTAATAAATGTCGATTCAACAGATTTTCAGATTTTATTGGAATTCTGTCTTTGAAATCTGACATCTATTACAAGCGTTACTCGTTGAATTAAATATTGTCTGAGGAGCACCGGCACTACCTCTTTGTCCCGAAACTAGTTTACGATCACCTCCGTTGTTCGGCTTTTTTTTTGTGAAAATTCGTTACATAACAGGTCACACTTTAAAAATACTACAATACAACGTTTTAAATTGTAGGAAAGATCAGTTACACGTAGTGTAAATATTTTAAGCCGAAAGATTTTCATGTTTGCGACCTTAGTGCACCGACAATAGTAACTATATAATGAAGTTGTAAATAGATAATAAGGCAATCATGTCTCATGATTACTAAACTTACTACTTTAAACTGAAAAAAAAACCGTAAGGTAAGGAAATATTGTAATAGAGTTCAATCTACTTTGAAAAATGGTAAAATTTGATTTTGCGATTTTTTTTTTTTGTGATAAATTCACGCTTCGCACAAATACGGACAACATAAAATATATTTAAAACAGACAACCAACGGAAAAAATGGTCTCTCAACTTAAACGACATGGTTAACTTGGTGCGTTTATGTTTATACGTCAAAAGAATATCACGTAGAGCTTTGTTTGATTGGAATGAATTTGTCTCTTCAAAACAGGACTAAAATTATTAAATAAGTCACAATCGAACGAAACGTTCTGAATAATATTATTATAACTATTATTTTGCCATTATTAAATAAAGACGATTTTTTTAAATTTATTTCATGTAATGCAAATAAAGGCATGTCGCCCGGCAGCTTCCAACGTTCGACCGAAGATTGCGATACTGAGCCACACTAGCTGGAACACTGTTGTATACTATGTGTCTAAAATAGAGGGCGAATTAAACAATAAACAAATCTAATAATAATCAACAAAATCAAGGTCGATTCGTAAACCACAAGTACAGGAGTACAGTATTTCATAGAATGTTAATTATGCAATATAATGAGCGGACGTCATCAACAGACAGACGGAAGTTTTTTCGTACTCTGGGGGTCATAAAACGTGGAGAAAACACGAAACTGGCAAGTCGCCCGATGGACTTGCTTACTATATTTCCTTAGCTTACGCTCTGGAAGTAAAAATACGAAAAAAAAACAAAAATAAAAAATAATAAATTGTTATTGCTGAGGCCAACAATATTGTTGTCGAAGGTTTTTGTTGTTTTATTACATTTATTATACTACAAGAAAACATTAGTTTTTGTATTGACTTTTTTGTACTATTCATAATGTAAGACAACTTGTTACTGAAATTATCAGACAGTGGCTACTTTTTAGAAACAATAAGATTATTTGTAATAGTTTTTTAATAGCAATGTTTATGCGTTTTGTAGAAGAGAATAAACATCTAAATGTAATCATAAACATTTTTAATGATCGATTACAAAACTTTAGAGTCGACCAAATAGTGAACACTGACTTTCTGTTTTCAAAAGTATTGGGACCCCTAAGGTTATAAGAGTGATGATTTAAAGCATTTTCCTATTTTTGGGTTGCTTGTCTGAAACCTAAAATGTAGAGATGTACCGACTGTAGATCTGGCCGACTAACCGACTAGCCGATTATTCGGCCAGTAAAAACCGACTAGTCGGCCGACTGTTCGGCTTTGCTAAAACCGGTTTATAAATGCGACAGACAGTGTGTTTTTTTTTCTATTTCTCTGACTATCTTAAAAATTTGTTTTATTTTAAGGAATAACTAAAGTTCCTTCGTTTTCCAAAAAATGTGTTAAATTTGTTTGGATAATTTTAACATTTAATTTTTTTTTTGTAACTCAGTACAAAAATAAAGAATAACACAATTTATGGCCATTTTATACAATATTTTAACTGAGATTAAGTTGATCGCGCATTTAACAAGGCCATTAGCGACGTCTCATTGGCGTAGAGTCGGTCACATGGTACTTTAACGCGGGGTTAAAAATTAAATCGCAATTAAATATTTAATTGAGGTTCTGTAAACCGGGTTTCATTGTTTTATATACTTACTATTTTAATTTTAATAAAAAAAGCCGACCGATCGGCTGTTTTGCCGACCAGTCGCCGACTGCCAGCCGACGATGAAAAACGGCCGAATAGTCGGCTTATCCGACCGTTCGGCCACTAGTCGGTACATCCCTACTAAAATGTGTTCATCGACGTTTGATTCATAGAACCTTTGTTTATTTTAATAGAGTAGTCGGTTGTAAATTATCATTACCATAATCCTAAGCGATTCATTGATGGCTTTCAACAAACAGGGCACTTCTCGAGCCGACCATCACTAGAACTTTCTTGATGACTTTGTTGTGAGGGGGATATGCTTATAAAAATATGAAGGTATTTGGTCACAATTGATCTGTCAAAATTATTTAATACTATTAAATCTCTAGTAAAAAAGAGAAGTCTTTAAAATACAGCAGATTTTGGCAACTACAATCTATGCGGGATGTTCCTAATGGGTATAGTTTATTTTGTATATTCTCCGGCTCCATAGTTAGTTTTTTTATGTAATTTTTACTAATTATATGTTAGTGAGGTTTAAATTAAGTTTCAATAATATAATTTAAAACTAAAATTTGGATTTAAACCCATGAACTGAGATGTAAAAGGTATACAGCAGGCAACAGCTGCAACGCTAATACGCTCCCTCCCCACCTTTTAAGTTTCAAAGTCAATTCGCTGAGAGAAACTTTCTTATCTGCTTGCTCGCAAACAGTCAGTGACGTCAGAAGACACGGTTCTGTACCGCTGTGAATTTTTAAATTTACCGATTGTTCACTTTCTTGTGTCCTTGTTTTCTACGTCAATATCGCAATTTTTACCCCTGTCCGTATTTTGCTTAAATTGGTTGCATTGGTCTAAACCTACGAATAGATCCAGTGATCATGTGGAAGTTGCGTGAAGGGCCCGTGTTAAAACTCTGTTAAATCTACTCAAGGTGTCATGACCAATAAGAACGTTAGTTGCGTTGTTCACTCATTGATCACGCGGTGTTATTACTGCATCTGTTCGGCGATTTTGGTGTAGTGTCAAATGAGTTTGGTTCTTTTGGAAGAGATAAATATAGTCATCGATGTTGGTTGTAAATGGAAACACTCAAAATTGACCAAAGTACTTTTAAATAACTTATAACTACATACAATATTTTAAAATAACGTAGCAACTTCCTGCACTAATTTCTTTTTTCCCTGACTATAACATCACTACATAGAATTATCACTGTCACTTTCTCTTGTTTCAGATTTTTACAAAAGGATCCATCGCCCGGGATACAGATCGTTTAATTTTACTCAACTAGGATTTATGTTTATATCAAAATACGATTGATCGCTACTATGCCACCAGACTGAGACAGAACTCTCATTCGTGCATCTGTCAAAATGTCGGGAGGTCCTCCCCATCATCCCCACAGTAGGCAACCGCCTCCATCGAATGCTGCGTGGAATCACCTACAAGTAAGTAAAAAGCGCGTCGCCACTAAAAACTACACGAAGCTAAATGTTCAAGGTACCAAATTATTTCCCGACGAGACAACCTCAACACGCTCACATGTCCAACGAACATTCCCTTCTCCACCAGCCGACGTGGCACACTCCCACAACGGAGCCGATGAAAACCATGCCACACTCGCACATCTTCAGCCTCGAACAGATGCTATCGGAGAGACAGTTCCCGCGCCACGCCCCCGGAGTAGACCTATCCGTCACGCGAAACGGCAGCCAAAACGGCGAAATACTCACGAGTCCCATAAGTTTAAGTGTGCGCGATACCAATAAAATAAACAGTTTGCCCGTCAGTGCGCTCGACATCCAACCCGTGGAAGTGGGCCCCGCCGCGATCAAGCCCGTTAGCCCGGGCCTGAAGTCGATCAGCCCGGGCCTGAGCTCCGACGCGAAGAAGCGCTCGAGTAAACGCGTCGATTCGATCCTGGAAAGACTCAACCCGAATCTCGAAAAACCGACCGAAAGCGAAAAGGACAGTGACGAGAAACCGGCCAATCGGAGTGTGATCGTGCAAGCCGCGAGTTCGCAAGACGAAAACAGTAACTCTAGCAGTATCCTCAACGTACCTACTCCTACTAACGTTAGAGACGACGATGTCGTCTCGCCTTACAGCAACGAGGACAGCTTGGACAGCAACAAGTCGCGAAGGAAAAGAAAACCGAGCAAAACGGTGCGCGTTCCCAAGGAGGAGGAGAAGATCATCTTGCCGGACCAAAGCAGCAACCAGCCGGAGATTAAGAAGGACGACAATAAATCAAACGCGGAGGTTAGCGAAGAGAAGAAGATACCCGAAAGGCGAAGATCGTTGGATGATGCTGTGGAAGAGGTGCCGGCGAAAACTCGAAGGAAAACGTCGTCGGAGTCTGAAACTATAGATAACATAGCAGCTATGGTGCAGGAGGGGTTGAAGACGAAGCCCACTGAAATCTTGACGGTTCCCGAAGAAAAGCCAGACTCGAAACCGATTTCGGTTAGTGTTATCAAGACGAAGGAGAACCTGCAAGAGACTCTTACGAGTGAAACTAGCGATTTGAGTAACAGTTCGAATAACGTGACGACTACAGCCCAAAAGAAAATGAGCAACACACAATTTGTTGAAGTCGAAAACAAGTTGGAGGAGATGTTTGCGGGCATCGAGGATTCGAGCGATCCTCTCAAAATCGATACCGAGGGAAAAATGGAGGATTTATCTAAATTAGAAGATAACCCTGCATCGACGAGCCAAGACAACGTCACGTCAACGTCAAACGATCTGACCGTAGTCAAAAAATCGCCGAAGAAAGGCAAAAGGAAGCAGCGGAGGACACAGTCTAGACGAAACAGCGATATCTCGACCGAATCCACGCCGAAGAAAAAGGCAGCGAAAAAAGCGGGCAAGGCCGCTCTAAAATCGTCGAAACTAAAAAAGAACTCAAAAATCGAAGCGATGAAGGACGTTTACGCTTACGACTCGGGAAGTAATGCCAGTTCGAGTAAATCTCGCGGTCCCTTCATCCAAATCAGAGGCCCTAGAGACTCGCCGCTATCGGTTAGTGTTATAAACACACCGACTAACGACGACGATCCCGACAAGAAGACGCACAAAACGAAGAAGTTCCACGACGACAGCGAGTACAGGCATAAAGTCCGGACTAAAGGCCTTCATTGCAGTACCTTGAGTAACCAGTACGACGCTCAAACGAAAGACGCTTCGTGGATTTGTGCGTTTTGCAAAAGGGGACCTCATGCCACGGAACTGACAGGGCCGACGATCAACAACAGCGTGCCGGCTCCCGGAGACCTCTTCGGTCCGTACTTCATCACGACGAACTCGCCCGAATTCGAACGTCGCCTGGACGACCCCTACGATAAACAGTTTAAAAGTAAGAAAATCGCGAGGACTCTCGACAGTAACGCCGTTAACGTCGTCAAAGTTACCGGGAAGAAGAAGCGAAAACATTCGCTGGACTTGAAAGGGGACGAGGAGGTTTATTTGGGTATTACGGACACAGGAAACGGTACTTTCGAGATCTGGGCGCACGAGGATTGTATCGTCTGGTCGGCGGGGGTGTACTTGGTGGGGCCGAAAATCGTGGGCCTGGAAGAGGCGGTGTGGACTAGTTGTAACGTGATTTGCGCCAAGTGTCATATCAAGGGGGCTAATATATGCTGTCTGAAAAGGGGGTGCATGAACGTAACGCACGTGTGCTGTGCACAGTTCAATAACTGGCAGTTTGATGAAGAGAACTACAAGACTTACTGTCCTGAACACAGGGTTCTGTAACATACCATTTGTGATCTATTTTATATGGGTTAGTTTGACTTTTTTACTTTTCGATTTTTCTCTCTTTATATAGTTGCTATTTTGTAAAATTGGACACATGACATTTTACAGTGGTCACGTTGGTATTATTAAAACAGGTGCTAGTTGTTCAAAGAACGGCCTAGAGATTTTATTTATTGACCGATCTTCACTGGAAAATTTATAATAGGACTTGTTTCATCGTGAAAACTATCGTATGTGTAAGATATTAGGTACTCGTATAGATTTTCCAGTATTGTATTTTTTTCATTTTACTTTTTATAATTATTTTTATATCATGGCGATTGGACGTAATTACAAAATAGCAATGAACTTTACTTAAATTCAATTTGTACCTATTAATTGTATAAAAATGGATGTTCCATTAGAAAGATTTGATTTCATGAGTTCTATTTAGTAACTAGTTGTTTATAGAACGATAGTATAAATGAAAGGAAAATGTAAAATATGTCTTAAAATACGCTTATTTTTTGTAAAAAATGAAAAATTTTAAAAATACTCTCATTTTTAAATGTATACCCTGTATCACGTTAATCGTAGTAATAATTAAATACCGAAAAGTGTACATTATGTAAATAGCAAAATTTATGTTTTGGGCAAAAGTATTTAATAAAATTAATTAAACATTCTCTTTTTGAAAATTATTACGTGTGATAAAGTAGTGTTTTTTGTACAAAACTAAAATTGGAATTAAAAGTGCCGCTAGGCGCATGCGTCGACCCTTGTCAGAAGCACATTACAACTAAATAACGTTAATTTTAATGACAAACGTATTATACACGAATAAATTTTGGAATTTATAATATGCGGTACACACGGAAACGTTGCAATCTAATTTTATTAGTTTGAAAGTGTTGATTATAGTTCGAAGACAGATTTATTAATCATCATCAAGAAAAATCATAGCTACAGACTTTTCAGGTTAAGGAAGAAGTTTACAAGAACTTGCGAGGAACAGAAAAAAGAGAAGTAGTAACACGAGTATGATCTTTTAATAAATAATGCTTAATTGTTTTCTATGCCTTTGAATTACATCTTGCATAACTATTTTTATCTACCCCATCTAGAAATAGAGGGAGTTTTTTTTCTGCTTCAATTAAAATGCTTAGTTGTCACGACACGGTATAATTTTGAAAGCTAAAATTTACACAATTAACATCTTTTGTAAAGCTATATATGTATCAGAAGCTCTTTTAAAAATTTAAAGCTATACTGTGTTGATAATATAGTAATAAACAAGTGAAGAGAGTATCACTGTTATTTACTATAAACCTTTGGCGTCTTATTTAGTGCAATTATAAAAATAAATGGTCAAAAATATGTGTTAAGGTACCGTTTAAGTATCTGCCTGCTCGCAAGAATATTGTCTTGATTTCGTGTGATACTTTGCGTTCTAAAAAACCAAAATTAATGTGTTTTTGTGATGTTATTATGCCGTGTATTTAGAACCGCATTTCTTGGGAGACTTTAAACACAATAGAAGTGCAATATCACCACAAATAGATATTCTGTTGAAAGAACCAACATACTTATTTAAGATATTACGGTTTTTGACAAATGATTATTTGCAATAGACACCCTTACTTTTCAACAAATAGGTAGAATTAAGAGTCATGTGATGACGTTCTTTTTATTGCTAGTGGTATAAACTAATTTTAGATAAGTATAAAACTCGGGAATCAATATAGTATAGGGCATTAATTGCATTATTGTACCTGTATTTAAATAATAACCTTTTTAATAAAAATAGAAAGTGAGTATTTGCATTTAAAAACATAAGTTATGTACCTTTCCTACAAAATCTAAAATGAAAAAAAAAATTAAGTTCATGATTTTTCTGTTTCCGCTTCCTTAAGTCGTACTTTGATCGACCAGTTGTCAAAATCCGGTTTGTTACTTTGTTTGTGGTGAAATTAAATTAAGCGATGATGCTTAAGTGCCATAAATTTGTAGAACAGCTATTTGTTGGTAAATTAATGTTAACATCTGTTTTTTCTAATCGTGTTTTCTTTTACGTGAAAGCATAATAACTAGGTAAGTCTTAATAATTAGAGTAGAACGGGTAAATAATGTCTTACCAGCATTAAGAGCATTTGTTAATACATTAAAGAAAAACTGTTGTTAAGTTTCGGTGAAGATACTACTAGGTGAACAACATTATTGATGACGTTCTGTATACGTAGATGTAATAAAACTACTTAACTAGAATATACCTAACGACTAGGCGTATTTCTTTGCGTAGGTACTTTTAATATGTTAAACTGTGTGGTGTCAGCTTCGCTGGTTTCTTATTTTCACATATATTGCTTTATATATTGTATATTTTCTACTTTCTTTAATTTGACTTCGTAGATTTGGTTTCCTAGTGTTTTGAATCAATCATGTTAATGTACGAAAATGTAGGTCTTTTGATTCCGTTGGCCGTTTTTGTTTTTTTTTTTAATAAACAATAGTAGTAATAGTAGTGTGGCGTCACAATAAGAAGGAATAGTAAGCGAAGAAAGATAAGCGGCCTCGTGATCTAGTGGTCAAGATACCTGCCCGACAAGAGGGGACGTGGGGTTCTATTCCCACCGAGGCAGCAACATTTTTCTTCGTTTACCTACACTAGCATACGAAAAAAATTTGGAACTGTCATCAAGATGGTAATGCATTGAACAAAATTTGTTTATCCATTATTTTCAAATATAGTTTAATTAAATAATGTGAAGTAAATCTCACGTCTGGTTAATAATCCATAAAAGTAACAGCAGTTCTCTTGAAAAAATAAATTGGATCAATAAATTTTATAATTATCTCTGTACCGAAAATACAGTTTCGACTTTCTTTTCCAAATGCCGAATTGACAGTGGGATCGAACGATCGAACCAAGACCAAACGTCGTCAGTGAAACGAACATTGAATCAGGAAACAAATGTTCCTCAGAACGCCTCCATCAGCCCAGAATCTCTCGAGCGTTCCTTCGCTAAACTCTATACCTGAGAACCAGTCCTCACTCCTCAAGCTTCAATTTTTGGGCATGATGCTGTTAGAAACTCCTGTATCCCATTTATTTGAGATCTCTAGCAACCGTGCCTATATGGTTTTATTTAATTTTTATTTTTGTTGTTGTTAACACAATAAACAAATAAAACAATAGTACAAAAGTTTCTGAATCCCAAAACACATTGGTAATAGAGAAAAATATTTTAAAATGTTATGAAGAGAGTCAATATTTTGCATCACTCTCTTTCAAAAATTCCTTCTAATGAAGATGCTTCCAGGCGGCAGAAATTCCATTCCTGCTTAACAGACGTAAAATCAATTATATTCCAGCCTTTCGATTCGAAAAAAACGTGTGAAATTTACCCAAAATTGCCAAAAAGCTTTTGGCCATTTAAACTAATTCCTGTCCATTTTTCTGCTATTTAAAATATCAAATGATATTTAAGCATCGCAAGTATGACTGCCCGAGTTGAAAAAATGAACAAACCTGTATGTAGATGCATTTTACAAGATTGTCATGAAAGTTACTTACTGATTAAATTAACCAAAAACAAGCACAATAATCATCACACTGGATAAAATTATTCAATTTGAGTTGTTCAGTGACTACTGATTACTAAGTGAGCTAGCGCGAGTAAATCCCTATCTTGACGGGGCCCCAAGATGTGTCATGATGCTGAAGTGTTGAGGAAAACGAGCTGCCCGAAGGGCTTCATCTCGGTTTTTTTCGTACAGGGATTCATGTACTCCACCTAGAACCAATAAATGGACCAAATTGTGTATTTATTCCGTTTAATTTGTCACTGGATAAAATAATACAATTTGAATTGTTCAGAGGGCCCGTACTTCTTCAAATGATGTTGCCATTTCGATTGGATCATCCCTTGGAAATAACAAATATTTTAATAATGCTTTAAATTATGTGGGTTTAAACGTTCTTAGTGGTCATTTTGGTCACTAACACATAACACGAGAGAGAAGAAGAATTCAGAGAACAGAAAACAGAAGAAGCTGCGGCAGTGGAACCATGTAACAACGGGAGAAATAGAAATTCTGGTAGCTTTAAAAGTTTTTGCAAGTGATAATTATCAGAAGGGTGTTGGAGCAGAGTATTTTATAGGGATGGCTCGGCAAACAATTAGCAATGTAGTGAAAGAAGTTGCAACAGCTTTGGAAAATATAGCCCTTGTGCAAGCGACCAACAAGAGAGAAGTTCTTCTTCCCTGGTTCTTCTCAATTGCCACATGAGTGCAATCGATAACCCCTATCACACCAAAAAAGCCAAACTGTTGCATAAATTCGCCTTTTATAGCATTTTTTTTCTTTATTAATTTGGGCACAGTTGTCAATGTAAAAATTTGGCCTGATTGCAGACGGATGTATAAATGGTTGTATAAATTGAGCTCACGATACCAACATTAAATAAATAGGTATTATTAGTGTTATTCGACGATAGAGTAAACAATAATACCTAAGTTTAACTTCCCGATATTTGGATTTCTTTACATAAGAAGAAGGAAATATTGATTACAAATAATTTGCTTGAATTGTCCGAATATGGGGTCCCGTTAGATCGAAAGAAAAAGGGAAGATATTTAGAGTATGTATTTAAAAACTTTTTAAAATATCATAATTTAACACATCTTCATAATCTACATTTTTTAATTGCTTTTTACTATCGTTCTATGTACAATAATAGCACTATCTTTTACCTGCAAACCAAGGCTGAGTACCTATTTGATCAAATCAGTCCAGAGACAGAGTTAAAGCCAGTTTACTTAACAAAGTTTTCAGTTTCAATATACGTACTTAAATTCGGAACAAAGAATATAGAATGAACTAAAATCAAATGGACCAGCTTTTGTTAGCATATTTGAAAATTCGTCATATTTGTACGATCGTATGAAATTGCTTTGTTATCGTTGTTTTTAAAAAAGTACACTATTCCATTTCTGTATGGAATTAACATCAGATGAAACGCCAGGAAATAGATTATTAATAATTTTGTGTTGTTTTGGTTTCAATATACTTCATATCATCATAAAATATAAAAGTACGTCCTGTATACGAATTAAAAATTGTCTGATTTTTTTTTAGTACTAGATAGTCCCAACTCATTTACCTTTCCAGAATGCTTTATTTGAAAACTACTTAGGAAAGTCTATGATATAAAATTTATTTTCATTTATAATTACAACCTCGCCAGAAAGTCTTTGATAGATGTGAGAAATTTCTTTTACAAATGTAGAAATTGCTGTAAAGAGGTTGAAATACTTTAACGTAAATGTTATATACAATGGAAACTATAACAAGCTGGAATCTGTCAAACAAAAATAAAACAAAATGATAAGGAATACAAAGTTAAAGAATGTGAAAATTATAACGAAAATGGGTACTGTAATATACTCTAAGGAAAAAATTAAAAATCAATGCAGCAAATGTAAAAACTGTAATAAAAAACTATTAGGTAGTACGAATCCAGTTGAATGTGTTCAATGTGGTTCTGAAAAATATGCAAAATAAAATTTTATAATTTTTTGAAGAAGCTGAATCTGTTGGACGTATCTACTTCAGGGGCAAGACCCATTTTTTTGAACTAACAACTAAGTTTAGGTACGCTAAAATTTAAATTTAAAGATTATTCGAAGGTTATATGTGTAGTAGATTTCCAACAGACAGATAAGCAGACTTGGGTAAATTATACAGTTAAAGTTAAAAATAAGGATGAATTATTAAATCGTGGGGAACGGAGCACTTCATATTTCAAGTTAGATTTATTTCATGATTTTTAAAATGTCAACATTTTGGGGAACAAAAACAGAACAATTTTAATTAGCGTTTTATCCTCGTTACTATAATAATCTAAAAATTTGCACTTTTTTTAAAAAAAGTTTCCATTTTTTCAATTTACCATTCTTGTTGAAAATAGTAATTTGTTTAGCAAGAAGGAATGCGTTTTCTTATCCACATGAAAAATTCTAATGAAAGACGGCGATTTCCTATTTTCAAACGCAAAAATTCACAACACCAACTTTTCGCTGCTATGTAGAAAACATGTAATATTTTATCGATTAGCGTTTTCCCAAGATTATTCAGCCGGCGTCGGCGCTTCCAATATGGTTTCGAAATTTAAAAACTGAAACACCTTGTATGTAACACTTGAGCCCACCACGGAGTGTTGTGCTGCAGACAGTTTAAGTACAGCTTTTTTGAACTTTTATATGTCGACAATAATTGCCGACGTAATGCAGGATAACGAAGCCAACAGCGTAAATGAAAACATCTGCATGTAGACACCGCGCATAAATTAAGAGTGAATTATCGGAACTTTTAATGATTCGTTTATAAAGTTAAATTAGAAATCCGCACAGAAGACCGAAAAATAACCAGACAAAAACGAGTGAAACAATTTTTTAAATAAATTTTAATTGCTTCCTCGTAAATGAGGGTCCTAGGTCAATGCCAACTCGCCTGTTCCCGCGTCCAACACGACGCGTACACAAAAAACACCATCAATTATCAATTACGTTGATAATCCGAGCAATCATGGCACAAATCCAGCAAAAGGCCAGAAGAGGCCGACCAAGCAACAGGTTCTTTTGTTTTGTTCACGTGATCGGAGGTAGTACTCCGGGCCGACTTCATCAGCGCGGCTCTTTCAATTTCTATGAGCGCGTTCAGTTGTGTTCTAACAGCGGTAGAGTGTGATGCGCTTTGCTACGTTTTGTACTATCGCAATAGAACCACGATGTTCTTGTAGCAAATGAGTGCGACTTTGTGCGTGCCAAGTGACTGGAGTATGGTACTGCCAAATCATGTTTGGAGTGTTTTTGATTTTCATCCTCTTCCATTCAGTCAAATCGGAGAATAGCAGCGACGCAGGTGAGATTTAAGTTCTTTTAAATGTGGGCCACCGCGCGCGGTACCATCGTCTCGCGAATCAGAACAGAATTGCCATCCCGTGCATCAACGCCACGTGCACACGTTGATGAGTGATTTAAATCTGGTAGTACCGGAGCCGCTCCCCTTCGAAGTAGGTTATTCAGTCAGTCGGGGATTCGGTGCGTAAAGACCATAAAAATAAACAAACTCGTTGAGTTGTACCGTTATTACGACAATCGAACCACCTGGTGGTACTCGTACAACCACTCCGTGCGTGGTCTGAGTAGGCGTCGTGCTCCACCCGGGATACCAGTACGAGGGTAATCCAGAAAGTAAGTCAGTTGGACTTTTAAAAAGCGACAGGGCTATTAATAAAGATTACACATTTTTATAAATTATTTCGGGACGTAATTGGTAGTTCGATTAAGGTACTACCTTTTTTATATGTCCCATCAGTAGGAATCAACTGTCTGATATCTAACGGTTTGCAAAAAATGTTCTCGCATTAAACTAGAAGATTTGACAATTGATGATTGGTTTAAAAAACGAAATTGTGAGGCTTCTCAGTGGAGACATAGCCGCTCAGCTACAGGCTCAAACGCCCAAAGTTTCTGTATTACCCTCGTACTAATACGTGGGAATTGACCGGATTCTTGAGCAAACAGTACCGGACCTAACACCTGTGTTTGCTTCGGCCTTAATGGAGCCAGCAATTGTTCACCACAAGTTTTTCTGAGGAGTTTTCAAAGAGCCCATCGTAAATGCACGAATTGTCAAGGATGCCCTTCTTCTTTAACTTATGGGCGCCTTCCAGGAACGACGATTCTACCTGTACTTCGAGGAACTTACCTGATTTGTACCTTTGTTGTTGTGCAAAAGTTGATGGGAGACAATTAACGTGGAAGGTCGGGCCCTTTATTTAACCCATGTTAGTGATGTCATGGCTGACCGCTGTGTAGGTGGGTGGGTTGATAGGAAAAACATGTTAGTGACAGTTAAGACTAATTAACTATTCTACACTTGATGTGTGGTGAACCGTGTGCTTTCTTATGTGGTCTGTTGTGATAATGATTGGCATTATCGCCAGTTCATTTAGATTTCTAATTGTTTGACACATGTGAACATGCCGCTACGTTTTTTCTTTCGATGCGGTGAGCTGGCTGATAGAGAGTTTAAAATTCAAGGCGGTAATTCAGAGTGACAGTGAACTGAAATAAAGTATTTTAGAAAATTTGATTTTGGTTATTAGTGCCAGAACTATTGCTATTGTATAATATAATAGCATAGATGTTTTTAAATATATGTAATCTAATGTGCTGATTGAAATCATTTGGAGAATTTTGAGAGTATTTTGATTTTGTGTAGTTGGAAAATTAACATCAAAAATACACTTAACAACAAAAGTACCGTAACGTTTATTAAATTAAGTGCGATCAATAAACATATTAAATTGTAAAATATAGTGCATATATTATAAACAAATAATTCCACAAATACAAAATTAATTTTCTGTTTAAAATAAATTTGAAAGAAAAAGACAACGGTTATAAACATAGTATTTTTTGATGATGTTTAAAAAAATACTATATTTATTTTCAGTTACCTTGGAGAAACACATAATGAGGCATTCGTTTTATTGTTCAAATATAACTTATTTTATGCCATTTAACTTATTATTACATTCCTATATATTATTAATTTTTTGTTATAAATGTGTTTAATTAGTGCAAACTTAGAAATAATAATGATAGTCGTTATTTACGCTAATGCTAGGACGTACTTTATATTTAAAGCTACAATTAATGTAATTAATTTTATCATTTTTGCAGCCGAATTTGTAGAAAAATACTTAATTTATTATATTTTGGTTAAAACTACGTTGTTAATGTGCTATGGCACTAGTCACTGGTGAAAACCTTCTCGAATTATACTTAAGTATATGTAAAGCGAAAGAAGGTGTTCTTAGGTTATGTGGGAGTTATAAAGTGAAGACATTTGAGATCTGCCCATACCTAAACTCTTTAGCAAACCCACAGTTGTAAATAACAATCGCTGCATCCTCGGCTGTATTGATTACATGGGTATTATTGTTAGCAATGGTGAAGACTACATTATTCCATTTTTTTCCCCAAGAGTATATAAATGTACATATATCATTCTTTAGTCCATTTGTCAGTCACTAATAAGTAGTCTATTTGATGGAAACGTCAAAGCTGACGTAACTTCGCCCCATTTTCTAATAAAATTAGAATTACAACTTTGGAATTTTAAAAACTTGCATCAGAGAGTTATTAATTAAGAAAAAACGCATGCATTCAATGTCCTTTCTCCAATTAAAAAAATGTTATTTTTTTCACCAGAATACCATACCAGAAGTATAATAATAATATTAATTTTATAATATCCAGCTAATTATGTTCTTCTGTCGAGCAGGAATGAACATTAATAATAGAATCGAAAATGTGATAAAAGTCGAAAAAAGCGCTAATCCTGACTTTTTTTTTAAATTAGTCTTATTTTCGAAAGACCTAGTCTCACCCAATCGCCCTCTATCTTCTTAAAAAATATGTCATTTGCCAAAATCTGTCTTATCTTAACAAGTACTAGCCCCGCCCACCCGCCCTCTATTTTCTTGGAAGGTATGTCATTTGCCAAAATCAATCTTATCTTAGCAAGTACTAGCACCACCTACCCACCCTCTTGTCATTCTAACTGCTAATTTTGTTTCTGTTCAGTATAAGATCATTCATTTCATTCAGTTCGGATAAAATCAATCACTGAAAAGGAGACAGGGTGGGTGGACGGGGCTAATTATGTTCTTCTATCGAATGAGAATGGAAACTAATAATAGAATCTAGGATGTGAAAAAAGTAGAAAAAAGCACTAATCGTAACTTTTTTATTAAAATCAGTCTTATCTATCAGTCTTAGTATTTTTTCTTTTAATAAAACTGGTTTTATCCTTTTTTTGGAGAATTTTTCGAAAATATGTTTTCTTTTTTCTTTATTATTTGAAGAGACCAACAAAAAGGATCGCAATCAACGAAAAATTCTCAATATATCCATCTTTTTTCGTTTTAACTGAATCCGATTAACCAACCGACCAACAAAATCCTAAAAATTCAAAGAAATCTGAAACTTCTAATAATTCCAAAGTGTTCAAAATCTTCAGTGCTTATGAAACTCTAGTCATTCTAAGACCTCAAATATCCTATAAATTAGAAAGGCTGGCGAAATTCTAAATTGTAAATAAACTGAAATTCTAAAATTCTAAGTATGAAAAAGTCTTCTAAACTTCGATTATTTCCAAAGTGTCCAATCTGCAATAATTCTAAGGATTCCAGACATTCTAAAGACCTTAAAGATTCTAGAAATTAAAAAGATTAGAGAAATCCCAAATTGTAAATAAATTGAAATTCTAAGATTCTAAATATAAGAAAAATCCAAGAGAAACCTAACACTTTTAAAGATTATAAATAATATTTTTATTTTGTACGTCACTGGTTTTCGGTACATTCCTAACGACTAGAAATAAAAAAATGCCGAACTAGTCCGGCAAAAACCTAGGGATTTTTTGATAATTGTCGACATTGGTTGGTATTATCGCTTGTCATTCTATAACTGGCAACTTGCGGTTTCTACAATAAAGCAAAAGTTTTGAGCTAAAGTACCCCATTTACGACATTGTTAAAATATGCACACCATATTTTGGGAATAAACAAAGTAAATAAACAATATAATCAACAACAATTTTATTTATAAAAATCGGTATAAAAAAATCGTATATGTATAACGTCGTTTTCGAAAACCTCCACTCCTAAAAAGTTCAAAACGCAACCATAAATACAATTTCAAAACAATCTTTGATATTTTACACTATTAAAAAAATCTGTCCTTTGTAACAGAAGTGACGTAGTGTCAGATACTGTTATCCAAACAGTTGACGTTTGTTGCCAAATTATCAAAACCAAACAGATAACAATGCTTTACTTAAAAAATACTGTTAGTAAATATCAAAGCCTGCTATGTAATCGTATTATGGGTTCTCCTCGTGAATAACCCTGTAAATATAACTACTTGAAATTAACCCAATTTTTTTCATTGTTTTTATAGCTTTACCGAACCTGACAAACTAGAGGTTTCTTTATTTGTACACTGACCGGAAAAAAAAAACCGGCCACCCTGAAATATTTCAGAGTGACCGGTTTTTCTGGCGGTCAGTATATCCAGAGTCTAAATAATTTAAGAAATGCAAGAAAGTTTTAATGTACCTATTTAAAAAGTACCAGAACAGTTTAACAGAAAATTAAGAAGTCATTTAACCACTTGACGCTGCAATCGCCCACACTTAAAAGTGAATTGAAAATCCAAACAAACGTACCCGTCTTCAGCTGATTGTTTAACCTTATACTGGTTTGGTATTGTGACCTATGTAGAAACTCTCTCAAGTCATTTAAAAAAATGTTTCACATTATAAGGGAGTACTTCTAATAAAAGCTCTTTAATGAGTTTATGGAATTATGTCATCAGGTTTTTAATAGGGATAAACATATTGTATTTTTTTCAAATTATTTCAACGCCATGTGATATTTGAAAAATTTAATAGGAGGAACTCACAATCAGCAAAATTCATCTGTATTTCTCTTTTCTATTGTGAATAGTCAGTGTTGACAAAGACAATTTGCTTGTTAGAGCCAATTCGAGGATTTTTTTTGTTAACAGCTCTTTAGAAACAGTAAAGGATTAAGATTGTTTAAATTTTGGGGAATTATTTAATAAACAAAAATCGCAAAATAAGTAAAAAAAAGAGAAGACTGCAGATAGAACTGAACCGTTTTATCTATTTTTGATGTATAAAACCTTGATTCATTGTGTGATCTCGTGCCAATGGCAAACCACAGAAAAGGACTATTTTTTGTAGCTACTAATTTAAATGGCTCCTTATAATCTTAGAGAACTTCGAAACACCGATCTCATAAAAATTTCCGAGAAGTTTGTTAC